TATTGGTTTATCTATTTTCCCTTACAGCTGTTCCCTAGATTGCTACAAACTCCATAAGGATGCGGGAGATTGTCAGCGACCATCAGCACCTTTGTCGGATACACCCAGTGATGATGAGTTGGGTACTCTTCATTTTTTTTAAATATCCATACTTCTTTTAGCTAACCGTGTTCCTTTGGATCTTGGTGACGACTCCTCCGACTATGTTCCAACTCGCCTCCTGGAAGGACTTCGTAAGTTGCCGTCCTCCTCGATTGACCCTCTTATATCTTGTTGTACATTGTTCGCACCATAAGTCCGAGGTGGGAACTGGAAAGGCTCGATCGAAGTTAACTTCTGGAAGTCCTGATCTGCGAACCAATGCACATTTAAGTGGAACTTAAAGTAAAGTTTTTCCAAATTAGTATTCCGACCCTATCTTCTGTGGTTTCTCATAAACCTGAAAATGTATCCTAGAAAACGTTTTTCATTGTGTCATGGTGTCTAGCGCAAGGTAACATTTGGGAATCAGAGGGGGAAGGGATTTAAATCATGTCAGTTAATCGGGTTTAATGCGTTCATCTGTCGATCGGGCAGTCCATGCTTGTGGTCGGCGAACGGAGTAATTAACAGGGATTTAAGTAAATTTGAATAATTTATTTAACGCAGTTGTGAAAAAACTCTGTGGTCTCAGTGGGATACGAACCTACATCAGCCGGGAGAAGTCTTTATTACAGCCAACATTCTAGCCAGTTGAGCTACCAGGTCCTCACCAGGAGCCGTGAGTTAATTTATTCACCTAGCCTATTACACTTTATGGAATCCACCAATTCTGATAAAGTAAGCTGAATACCCAAGCAGGATTTCCTAAACAGTCAGTCTGGAATCCGCCTGATGACTATCAGACACTCTATTAGCAAGATGATTAGGAATAATTGGCGGTTTCTTGCGCAGACGTTTTAAGCCTACTAGCTACTACGGTTGCTGTCGGTCAGCGTTCTTCAAAGAGTCTTGTTTTGCGGTTGCGTTTGCATATGTTTGGCCCGACTCGAAAGCTTTATGAAGTTGGTTTTCTTTTCTTTCCGTGCTTCCCCTGCGTGTATGGTAGCTGAGGTATCTTTTAAAACGGTAACCGAAATGTGATTTTGGCCAAGAAGGATAACTAAAGTGGGCTTCCAATATGGAGTTTCATCTTGAATATTTCCAGGATATGTCAATCATGGCAGGATTCTAACTGTTTTATGCGCATATTAGTGCTCGCCCACGAAGATTATGACCGCAAAACCTAACTACTTAATTAGCCTGCTTTTTCCATTGATTTTCGATCCCCTTATGAATTCCAACATAATTAATGAAAATCATTCACACGAATATCCCCTTCTGCACCTAATTTTCAGAAAATCTCTTCCTCCAATTCTGTCCTCAGATGAATGGTATTCTTTATTTGTCTGTTCAAATTGCCTCTTATCGGTCCGTTTATTTGTGAGATAGTGTTATGTATACCCCTTACCCTGAAACATGCCGCAAGACGACCCTTTAATTGGAAGAAACACGGTGTTCTTTAATATATAGGGAGGAAAAAGTCGTGTTTGTGCTGCATGGGCGTCTTAAAGCACAAAAATGTGTTTTGTGAGAAGGTTGTTCATTGGGGCATACGTATCCGCGCTAAAACCTCAACGAATGTCTCTCAAGAAGTATACAGTGTGGTCCATCTCCACTGCACGATTTTATGAGCGCTGTATATTACCTACATAATATAACACTGAAATCTATCATTTTAATTAGAAATAAAGTGCACGGCTTGTAGTTTAGGGAACCTAAACACAAATCAAATGGCAGGACCGGCTCAGCATTATTCAGGAATTGACTAATTTCTTATGATTGGGAAAAATCATTTCCTCGAGCATAAGCTTTTAAGATGTCAGTTACCACAAAAACGGATGCAAGAAGAAATTGTTATGCATGTTTTCCTTAAAGTGTGTTTGTTCTCATAAGGGTATCTAAAATTACTGGAAAACTTAATGCTACTCAAGTAGTCACTTTTAGTTAATACGAC